CGGTACGCATGGGCGGTTTGCCAGCGATAACCGCAAAGTAGCGGTGCGACGACATTACTAATCTGATTACATTCGTGCAGTCAAGTGCGTGCGACGACGCCCTTATGAACCGACCGCCATCACCTGACTAAACAGCAATGACATTTGGTCGAGTTGTCAACGGAAACGGAAAGACACCCTAATAACAGCCACATATGTATTTACTGTGACAGCGAACAACAATAAGCAACAGAGCGCAGCCAACTTTGTACAGGACAAAGCAAATCAGTTTGACTACGGCGAGGATTTTTTGGTTCACTGTGCAGCCAAAGCAACTGGAATATGCGGTTATATTCAAGTGTAGGTTCACATTTTTTTGGCATACATTAGGTGCGTTCTTCTTTTTTGTTGTGAGCTGAAAATACTGAGTTCTTGAAAGAACGAAGCGTACTAGAACCAACTGAACTACCTCAGGAGATTTAAATTATGTTAAATGGTTTCGAAGAATGTGGTCTAAGCTTTTCTCTTCTTCTCAAAAGTAAGATGTTTCTATATTCTCGCAACTTGTTAAATAGAGTACAATTGGAAGCGACACAATGCAGGAAATTATATTTAGCATAAAAATGAATTTATTCTACGAAGCCAAAAGACATTTGTTTGGCGTTACAACAAGTTTATATCGAAGAATAAAGCCATATTTTCAGTCAATAAAATGTCCTTACATTGTTAGGCCAAAGTCTTTTCAGCTCAATTAGAATACTGTGGGAATATTAGATTGAACAAAAAAATTAAATGGTAAAAAAATTCCCTTTCAAAGCCAAAATGTTGGCTCCAGGGCATCCATAATGTACTTATAAATATACATACATACATATGTAAATATATCTTATTACTGTATAAGGCATTCCGGGTTAACCAACATGTGCAACTTTGCATGTGTTTGCCCTTGTATGTGTGAGTGTACAATTTTGCGGTCTTTGTGCAGTGAGAAATGACTGTTAGCAAGAGTTCTGACTGATTGAGTTTGTATGCAGGTGTAACGCACGCCCTAATTTACGCGTCCTCAGTGCTCCATTCACAAATGCACAGTATCATATATTTACGTATGTATGTGTAAACTACCAAGGCATATATGTACATAGCAATGCCACCTTATGCTGGTGAGCTTTTGACAAGTTGCGTGTCACCGTCGTCTTATCTTCACATCCAAACTTGTCAAGTGCTGCTGCGTTGCCGGGCCGATAAGTAAGTTGGCGACAGCAATATGGCATTGCTGAACCACCCACGACAGCATTGTTAGTTAACTTAGCTGCGTTAGCGACATATATGCTCAAATGGCCATACTATCAAACTCTTGTTATTGGTGCTGTTGTATCTACTGCGAAAT